GGCGGGGGGAGGGCGGCAGGGAAGAGATCTTTCTAGCATGAAATATACCAGCTCATATGTTGTGATTTTGTCTTGAAGACACGCAATCTGCACTTCACATTCTTCATTCTTTGTTTGATAATTCTTCAGCAGACATTCTTGTTCTTCCAGCTGTTGCTGATGTGAAAGTATCTGTTGCTTGGCTTGCAATAAATCAGCAGCTGTGCAACTATGGCTGGTGTTCCTTAGGGCTTCACTTGCCTGCAACTTGAATGTTAAAAAAAAAAACCACCTAAAATATATCAAGTTTTTCAGAAACAGCTTGCACTACAGAAAGTGATCTTTATTTTCTTCTTCCACATCACAAGTCCAAAGACTATCGCAAAATTTTTTAAGTTCTTTTAGAAGGAACTGAAATATCCTTATTATCTTGGGATGGCCAACCAATAAAAAAATATTTAATATTAAATTGTTTTATGGTGAGCAAGCATAGGATAGCAGCGTCTCAGAAAGATTTCTAAGTAATAAAACAGTAAAATTGCAATTACTGTCCCCAAAATCCTATTTCTAATAATAACAACTCAGGCTTCAGAATATAACTCACTTGAAGCTCAAAAAAAAATACATATAAAGTACTTAAAAGAGGGCAAAAAATACTACAATATTCAATTGTCACACTGTAAACTGTACCCACGCAGATTGCCAGTATCCCAGTGTCCATGGCACCTCAGTCACCAGTGCTTTTTACATCAAATGCTTCTCTGAAACTTAACTTTGTTATTTAAATTACCTTCTAATAGCACTACAAGTGGCAGGTTTTATCCAAAAATATAAAGAAGACTGCGCATGAAATGGTGGCCCATTAATGTTGATGGCTGACTGTTCTGATTTCAAAGGGAACAGGTTGGATTTCATCCCAAAGCTCTGAGAACTAACTACACAAGTGTTCTTCCCTAAGATAACTGCCATCATCCAGTAGTTATCAGAAGCTATCACCACATACTAGGGAAGAAAACAGACTAATCTTTATTTATTTTATAGTGAATTAGTACAATAAAGCAGGTACTATAATGATAACTATAGAACCAGTGAAGTGACTGCTGATCGACACTGAAACCAATTCTTCAAAAACGCACAAAAATTCTGTGTTTCTGCATTTGATGTGACACCAATTTTAAAACGCAAATAAATATCGGTAGTGCTGTAACTTACATGCTGAAACTGGATTTGCAGTTTTTGACTTTGTTCAGTAAGCTCTAAGAACTCCCTCATAGTTTCATCCTTTTCTTTCCGTGCCTGCTGTAGGTTAGTAGTGAGCTGAGTGATAATGTCATCTCTTTTTTTGATAGCAGCTTCAAATTCTTGCAGCTATGAAAGATAAAACTTAAACTATTACTGCACATCAAAGCCACAGACAAACAAAAACATCGGCTTATTTTAGTTAAGTAGGAATATGTCATCCCTAAGCTCTCCATTTAAAAGATATCACACATATACTGGAGTGTTTCTGGTTTCACAAATTCTATTTGTAAATACTTCAGAAACAGATTTTTTTCCTCTCATTGAACAATAGATGACCTCTTTATAAAACATATTTACCAAGGAACAAAATCTGAACCTGTAAGAAGGTCAATTAGTTAAATATATAAACTGCTTGTAAACTAAAAAGCATGGCCACATAAACAAAACATCGTAAAGGAAGCCAGAGTATCTATTTATAGCGTTTCAGCAATTTTGTACAACTACTCATGTCCACACACTTTTCTCACAATAAATGCAACTTATATCATCTCTCACTTAAGTGTAATAAATTGCATTCATCATACTAAAAGCATATAATAGATACCATGCAGTATCCTACCTTGTGAATCCAGAGAAATTATTCATAACTACATGAGAAAAACAGCTCAAGCTGCAAAACCAATAGTGTATTTAACAGATGAATCTTCTGTAATTTATAATGATGACGAAATGATAAAAGTACAGAAAAAATCCTTTGCAAGTGTTTTATCTTTTGTAGGATTACACTCAGGCAGCCAGAAATTCTACAACGTTAACTGGGACTATTTTCATGAGCAATTATATAAAAAGATATGTTGCTCACTTTAAAGTCACTTTGTCAATCTGAACTCATTGAAGGCTAGTAGCACCTTCCCCACTATGGATTGCAAATTTCTTAAACCAGTCTCCTTCTGTAACTGTTTTGTTTACAACGCGCCCAAGAAGAAGCTTCTCCAGATTATATGCTGAGTCTTGAAGTAAAACTATAATACTTCCAGATAAGCTTACTGATTAAGAGGATAGGGACATTATTCAGTGTGACATAAAAACCAGAAAACCCTTAAGCAAGACAAACTATGCCAAGAATTTGAGGAAATTCATTCAAAGTTCTTTTCAGAACACTGTCTTGGACTCCTACTTTAAAAGCATGGATCTAGTGGAAATACTAGATTTTTGTTATAATAGAGAAAATTAGGAACAGATCAGACACTTAAGTGTGTCATATTTTTCCTTTTGTATCTGTTCAATGAAACTGAGTAACTAAATTTATCTGTTCTGATCCACACATTGTTATATGAGAATTCTAAATTTGTTTTATTCAACCCTTTTGCTTAACAAACAGGCAGAACTACAGCACATAATATTATCTTCTGCGCTCCCCTTTTACAATTCTTTTGTTTCTTCTGAAAAATAAACCATATGCATTTCTAAACTGGCATATTATGTAATGTACCACTACCATACAAAAATATGCTGCAACTATAAAAACATTATTGTACTGTAGCCTATTTTGTTTTAATATATTTTAATTTACGTTAAAAATAGTAATCATAGCCATTTAAAAAATGCAAATATTTTCACTGTCTTCTTTTTCAGGAAAAACTAACTGTAGTCACAATTGTGAAAAACTTAGTATGCTATAATTACAACTATATACAACAGATACAAGATACAGTTATTAGAAGTTAAGTTTAAGTTAAAATTGCAACACCAGAGATTCATCAACTGCCAAAGGGATAAACCACCTCCTGCAGGGCAACCACTGAAAGATCACTCTACAATAGTGGAAAACATGACACCCATTTTCACAGATAAAATATAAATGAAAGCAGAAAAAATTATTAGTTGTGCAATAATAATGAAAGTGAAAATCACCGAATACTAGAACAATTTTGGTATTCTGTAGTACTTTGTAAAAACCAGAAAAACACAACGATGTGGCCTGAATCCAAATTAAAAGAGAAAGACAGAAGACACGAACCATGACAAAGCACTGACTTCAGTGCATAGCACCACTTGTTTCAACTGGAAGGATAAGTATTTCATAGTCTTTACTTTAAAATCTAACTTTAAATTCCAGTGGTATTTCTGAAGTAATAAATAATTCCCTGTAATCCCAAATTACTAGATATTAGTTAAAACATTTTGCAACTGTTGCCTTGTGTTTCAGGCTGTGAAGTCTGACATACAAATACTTTTTTTGTTAAAGGATCAAGTCATTTATATCATTCCTTAAGAAACAAAACCTGAGGTTTTTTTCATCTTGGAAGAACAGGAAGGTATTCAAGAAATGCAATCTTTGCACAACTGGAGAAGAATTAGGACTTTTCTTGAAGAAAATAATGTTTCTATTCCTGATCTGGAGAAAGTCACTGTGAAGACGACTGGAATTTTAGTCACAAAATACAGAGAAAACATACACACAATGGAAATGCCATTCAAAGAAATAGAGCGCGTGGTATGTGATTGAAGGAAATTATGTGCAATTCTATAACACACACTAATTGCACTCTGAACAGCTGCAATTAGGTGTGAACTCTTTCAGGTGATGCTCTGCATTTTCACGTGTAACAGAGTAGCAAGTAGAAAGCAACATAAGGTAATTATACCTGTTGCAATCCTTCTGTACCATATGCTGCCCTCATTTCTTCTAGCTCTCTGTTTAGCTCTTCAATCTCTTGCTGTTTCCCAGCCAATTCATTCTCCATCACCTCTAGCTGCATGTTGGAGTGCTGCATTCCATGCTCAGAACAAATCTCTCCAAATTCTTCTTCCTAAATCAATCCAAGTTCCTTAACATGCCATTTTTTGATGCTTTATCACAATAAGTAAACTCAAATATCAAATTCAGTTATCAAACACCACTTTAGTACATTAACATACAACACAGCATTGAAGATCTTATTGCCATGGTAACCTCCTTTGTTAGTATAATTCACACCTCAAAAGCACGGACATAAAGCTTTTCTGCAAGTTCTGCTTTACAATCTTAGCTGTAATAGAAGTAGTAAATTGTTTTGCATTTCAAGTCTAATGATACACTTTATTAATATGTGACAAACAATGCAGATGCAGAGGACAGCATGCAAAATAAAGTATTAGTCAGCAGCACAGTTTTTGTTCAAAACAAACTGTTCAAGGCTTTTAGTATTCACCAGTAGTATTATGATTCAATCTGCAATACTGTACCCTGATTAAGTCTGCAGGTATAGCTGTTCTTGTCACAAAACTGCAACCATTTACCTGTATAAAGACAATTTCTAAATACATTATTATTTGAAATAAAGCTCAATTTCTATTTTCATTTGAATCATATGTGACGGTTCCTGCAGGCCCAGGGGAATTTTTATGCTATAAAAAATTATTTCATTTGAAATACAAAATAGCTTTTTTTATATAGTAAATTGCATCACAGTAAGCATAGGTAACAGGTAAAACACCCAAAATTGCTGAAAATGATACTATGGTCTAAAAACACAAACCATATTATGAATTTAAATATCTAGAGAAAACAAAGGAATTCAGATCTAAAGGTCAATGCAAAGCTTTATACTTTACATAATGCAGTATGGTTGCATTTTAAATTATATATTTAACATTTCTATATATCATCCAACATAGTTATGCTTTCTAAAAGATATCTATACACTCCAAGATCTACTATTTCTGAAAGTCACTAATCTCTTGAAAGTAACTCATCCTAAATTTGAAGGAATTTCTTGAGATTAAAAAAGAGCAGAAGTTATACATTTAACATAAGACATTTGAAAAAAATGCTCTTTCACTCACCTAACACTGCAACCCCTTTCAGCTTCTCTGAGAATTTTGGTTCTACAGACTGTGCAGACCAATAATGACAAATCTCCAAAAGGCAGGCACAAACCAAAGTAGCAGTTACAGGTTAACAAAAAAAAAAAAAAATTCAAATAAAAAGATGATGCTCTGTACTTGTGAGTAACTGTAACAGACAGGCAGGCTTTTGAAACAGCAGACCAATGTTCCAATGTTTTAAAAAAGAGAAAGCAAGAACAGCAGTATTTCCCCTCTGAGCTGTTTATTACATCAGAGATTGAAACAAAAATAATGGTATTCAAGACGTAAAGGCATCATAACATTTCAGACCCAAATACTATGTTTATATTTAAAAAAAAGCTATACTGCTCAGGCATCTGCCATAGTATAGATCAGGGATTATCTACAAAGGACTATCATGCCTGAGGAAATCAATGTTACTCGACATAAAAGTACACTGATATAAATGGGATCAATATAGTCACGGAGCTTTTATTAAGAGGATGGATATATCTGCATTAGACAAGGATTTGCAGAGCTGACACAGTGCCCTTTCAGTTCCCAACTTCCTCAGTAAAAAGGAAGACACCACAGAGTGATCACTCCCTTATTTTAGAAAGCATAAAGAAAACTGCAGCAAACAGCAGTCCAGGCAATTAATCGAGGCACTGCACATCGCTTGTGTACTGCCAGATGTTCGCTCTATAATCAAATGTACAAGTGTCTACACAGCGCCTGGCACCAACGGCTTTATTCAGATTTTGGTGTGTGTCCCAGATTAATTACACTAGTAGTTTAATAGAAACTCTATTATCAAATACTTCTTTTCCTTTTATTTAGGCTTAATTGATAAAGATGTAGTGTATTATTCCTGTAATCCAGCACGTGGACACACTTCTCTTCCTGTGAATAACTTCTGTGTGCCACAATCAAAGACGTTTAGATGCTTTATAACAAGAGCTACTAGGAAAGACACAAAAGCCTTATCTCGTTAGATGTTCCAGACTCCTTAGCAGCTAGAAATTTCTACAAAAGACCTTTTACTTACAAAGGAGGTTTTGCTATACAAATTCAAAGCAAGCGTCTGGAACCTGGGGAATCCCACCTCATCTCACCTATCTCTTCGCCTTGGCCTAGCTCTTAGACCTCAAAGGTGAACCACTACAACATGGTAGCAGTCCATGCTCTTCCCCATCTGATGCCTTCTCCTTACAAACACCTTATGCCTTCTGATAAAGTGCAAGTTGAAACATGACAAAACACCAGACTGCCCTGTAATCTAGGGATTAGAAGATTAGGGTGCTGTGCTAACGGGAGCCATGCGAGCAGCCTGGCAGCCTCTGGCGTGACAGAGATTCTGCTGTGTCAGAGCAGGCAGACAGTTGGGGCTGAGTTATTAGCTTCAAAATATGTTGATTTCACTCATGTGCAATATATGAAGACTGTAGCCCAGATACCAACTTCAGTGTTAAAAGATGTCTGGGCAAGGCCTAGTGGACTTCTGTGTTTTGTCTCATGGCCACAGTAGTTTCCCTGTTCAGAGATCTTCTGCAAGCTCATAAATACTGTTGCTGTAGACTCTCGTAGTTTCTTCTTTTAAAGCTTTGCAGTTCACCTTTAATGCTGAAATGCCCTTATGCCTTAAAGCCTTATTACGTGCTTAGTTACATACCCCAGCAAACAATTAAACATTTAAAGAAACAATCAAACTGCACAGCATTTTAAGATAACGGAAGGAAGGAGTATCAAGAGCTCTGGATGTAACTGCATAAACAAATAACTATGAAGTAGGAAAAAATTAAGTTTTATAACACGTTAGCTACTCAGGAGCAACTGCTCTGGTCAACAAAAGATGGGAAAAAAAGTGAAGGTTATGGAAGTCCCTAAAAGGACATTCTGTCTGATTTTTCTTCCTTACTTGCATTTTCAAAATAATTCACAGAAATAGTATTTACTAATATAAAGTAAAACATAATTTATAGTCTATTGGCTAAAAATAAAGATAGAAAATATATTTCATCGGTAAATACATATGCTTAATGAAAATGAAAGGAATCTTCTTCCAGAGAAACACAAAGAAAACCAATTTCCACCACTGAATTAAGGCAGCGATTCATGACAATTGCCACCAGAGGTCAGGATTAAATTTTTGAAATCACTGTACCCCTCTGAATGTTTCTTAGACCTTGGAAGACCTGAAATTGTACCTCAGAAATTACAATAATATGTAAAGTGTAACTCTTATAACATTAATGCCAATAAAACAGAGATTTCCCTTTATAAATAGCAAACTTGTGCTCAGCATAAATCAATACATACTGTTTAATCACTGAAAATTGTAGAAAATACTTTAATACATGAATATAACCTATTAGAGACTGGCAAGCAGACTTGCGATTAAAAACGTGCTTTGATTTGGTAGTAGAAACTTAGAGATGTATCTAGAATGGATTAACAATTTTACCTTATGCTTTCATTCCCTTCTCCCCCCTCTCCCCACCCCCCCCCTTCTTTTACATTTTGGACATCTGATTCCTTCACAAAAATTAATACTTAGATCTCCAACACTGCTTGTCAATGTTCTTAACTTCTCGATTTTCTAGTTATGTCACAACTGATTATATGAACCTTAGCTAAAATGAGAAATTAGGGCAACTTGGGAAAATGAATTTCAGTTGTGGGGCTTTTTTTATACTCCATAAACAAAAACATTTTCAGTTTGTGATGAAAATAATTACAATCATAAGTAAGGTTAATAACTTCTGAAGGATAACAATTGATGTCTTTTTAAAATATCATAGCTTAATATATTTTTCTATATATTAATAGCACACAACAGAAGGTTTCTTTATGTAGTAGTTAAGGTTGAGGTATAAAATCTCATTAATGTTTTAAAAAAAACACCAACTTTGTAGACTTGGTATTAACCATCCTTTCAGAGGTACACTTTGCAAGTTGGGAAAAGAGTCAATAAGAGAAAAAAAAAATAATCAGGTCAAACACTCTTTCAGTTACACCATAAAACTGAGGCATATAGAAAAAAAAATGGGAGCAACTTTACCTTACACAGTTAAAAGAAAAAAATTAAAAAATTGTAACTGTTGGAAAAAGTTTAACTTCCCTTAGTTCTGAGTTTAGACCATAAATTCTAATGGTGATTAGCTTCTTAAGACTATGCAATTAGGTCTCATTCTTACTCAAACTGAATAGTATGTTACAAAAGGCAAGGTGGTCATATGAAGGATTTATCAGCCTTCAGTTTGGCTGCTACCTTTGATAGTGTAGATATTTAGAGAGGTGGCAGAACAAAAATGAACTAGAGTGTGCTGACAATAAAATTCCTTCAAGACAAGAACTCTTATATAAACATTCACTGGTTCCTTCCACTTTGCTTAGACAACTGTACGGGCTTATAATTGTGTGTCTGGTAAGTCTCAAAGAGGGAAATTTTACCCAATTCCTCAAGACAAGAGGCTGAAGAATTAAAAACATCTGACTTATTTTACCAACGGTAACAGAACAAATGTTGTACACCCTATATCATTTTGAAGCATGACAGCCTTCATTTCAACATAATTTCTGACAAAAACCACTAAAAACAATACAGATGTTGTAAACAATGAGGGGAAAGGTGGATCAACAGGCCTATGTTTCTAGATATGGTTTCTTAGCATTCTGAAAAGGAAGTCATGTACCTGAAAAAAAAAGGTCAGCCCAAGATTTCATACAACTTCATAATTACACTGTTACAGAGAAAATTTAACTCATTCTCATCTTCAACTGAAAGGGCTTCAGATTGCTTTATTTACAGGATGGCCATAAATTTAAGTAGAACTTTTAATAATAAAAGCAACATTACAGCTGACACAAAACATATTGAAAATTCAGTTCCTAAAATATACACATTCCTAAACATGTTGTTTCCTCATTGAACATACCGATCAGTTGTAATGAACTAGAATTAAAAAGAGCTTATTAAAATAGCAGCTCCCACCACTTGAGTTTGTTCTTCACCAGATCCAGTATCATGCTACTATTCAGAAGTTTTATATTGCCTACTTATGTCCTAGAAAATAACTCTCGCAGAGAGTTCGCTTTTGCAGGAATGAGAAGTAGTGCCTAGAAGTGCATCTGTCATTGCATTTTTGCAATTTTAAGGAAATATGCTATTTTTTAAAAGGCACATTCAGGAGGCAGACTGGCTATAATTCTATTGTCTTTAGTATCTGAAATACTGCTCCCTAATATAGTCTGTAGGCACCTACAGAAAGCTCTGAAGAATGAAAAGTTAAGTGTTCAGATGTGAAAATTCATTTTACAATGAGAGCCTTGAATTGAACTGATACTAACAACAAAACACTAAAAATCAGAACGTAACCACAATTATCATGAAGCCTTATGCTAGATCTTTTCTGTATTGTCTCCTTGTGCAAAGTTGTGTTTTCTAGAGCTTTCACAATCAGTCTCCAACAACGCTTCCTACAACCTCAGACGTGATCAAAATTTCTTAGTCATATTTCATTATATATGCAATACCTCTCACTTGTACTTGAACTTTAATGCAACTGTCAACTGTTTTTAAGGGTCATTCTTCACATACTCATACTCCATTGACAGTAATCACATACCATGGCGATGTATATTCTAAAAAGGTGCAGTAAGGTCACAGCAGTTGTTCGTAAGTGCATTTGCTATGCTCTTAACGGCAAACTGTGAGCACATACTGCCCTATCACCTTACCATACATAAAGCAAACTCATTCTTTTTGTTCTTTACTACTTTAATTCCTTGGACAAAATAAAGATTTTATCTATGAAAAATACTAAATCTTTAATCTGATTTTTTTTTCCCCAGGTAGAGTTTGCTTCAATTCCTTGTGCCTGTTCCTCCATAAAAAAAAGTTTTTTCTTTCTTCCATTTACAGCACTCCCCAATAGCTGGGCTGGAGTATCAATTCCAAAAGTGAGAGACCCATTCTGGTCTCAGCCTTTTTTTTTTTTTTTTTTTTTTTTATTTTTTTTTTTTTTTTTTTTAAAGTTTGCATCACAAAAAGCATTCCATAAGAACAATCACAACTGAACAGACCAAGGGCCCACATGGTTCAGTATTCTGTATTTGAAAGTAGCCAATAATGAAGGTGAGGGAACAGTTTCCCTGTACTCCCAAGTGCCTTCTCCCAACACACCAGAAGAAAGTGCTTATAAACAAGGCTGGAGGAAAAAGTGAGAGAGAAAGAGTCAGACTGGGGAAGAGAGGGACAGGAAAAGAATTCAACTGAAAAGTCTGAGACCAAATCTATGGAGGAAACTGAGATTTGATGAGACAGGTTGGAAAGAAAACCTACTGCTTTCATCTAGGAGAGGTTGAACTGAACATTAGGAGGACCTCAACGTAGGGAGAGGGAAGACAGGAGAAGATGTTTTCAAGGGAGACGGAGAAAAAAAGATATTAAAAGAAGGAAAACCAATCCTTGGATAGAGTTGGAAATTCTGGGAAAGAAATTGGGCTTCGGAATGACTGAGGAAGGAAAAGGAATTACAGAAACAGGCTGAAAAGCCTGTAAGACTGAGCTAAGAAATCAAGCAAGGGGAAAAGGGGATGAGGAAGGGAAGGTGAAAAGATTGACAGAGAAGTAAGAATTTACAAATTCTAGGAGACAGAAAACAGACACAGAGTTGGTCAAAAGAATAGGGTGAGAGAAGGAACAAATGAAGACTGAGCATTTGAGTTGGCAAAGTCATTTCAGTTTTCAGGGCATGTCTAGACTGCCCATTGTGGTCATAATTTTACTTTTGCACCATGCAGTGCGACAGGTCGGGGACACATTGTCTGGTGTGTGTATTCCCTTAGGCTGCGCAATAACTACCTGTAATACTAGTATGAAACACATAGTTATTCTAAGGTATAGTCATCTCTTAGAAAAGGCTGATTCAAGAGAGGAACAAAGTGTTCCACACCAAATTTACTTCAGCGATGGGACTCATTTGATTACTTCATCCCCTTTTACTTGTTGCCATACTTGAGATTCTGGGGTGTGTTTTGCAGAACTGTTTAGCACAGAGTTCTGCAAAATGAAACCCAGATTGTCAGAAAAGTGATTGAGACATGAATTTATCTCTTCGTTTTCCTGCAAGAAACAGCATCTACTGTACTCAGATATTCCATGTAGATGCAGAGTAGCAGACACCAGTGTGTGACTGGGCTGACCCCAGTCAGCAGCTAAGCCTCCCCGACAGGCACTCACACACTCCTCCAGTAGCAGGCGGATGGAGGAGAGAATTGAAAGGGCAAAAGCAAGTAAATTTCACGGGCTGAGACAAAGACAGCTTAATAAGTGAAAGAAAACAAAACAAAACCCCCAAACAATAAGCAATGCAAAGGCAATCGCTCACCACCTTCCACTAGCAGACTGACGCCTAGCCAGTCGCTGAGCAACGGATGCTTTGGAACACATTAAAATATAATCAACTTGATAAACAATTTCCCACAGAAAATTAGTCGAAATTATGCATAGCCACAACTCCAATGGCAACACAAAGCATTAATACAACTGTAACAGTGACGCTGTTACAACAGTTCATATATCTGCTGCATTACTGATTATAGTAGCCATCCCATTATATAGTTTACATAATGCTTGCTTTAATGGTATGTTAATCATACGCGTAATGACATGCAACAGCTCTGTCTATAATATCAAGTCTGCTCTTTCTTTCCTTCTCTTTTTGAAAAACAACACACAGCACTGCAGTAAACATGGGAAAGAAAAAGTTGAAAGAAAAGTTAGGAAAAACATTACTTAAGACTTACCTCAGAACTGTAATCTTCTACTGTGGTGGAAATTTCACTTTCCGGCTAAAACAAAACATTTAAATATTTACAACAATGGCACTCTAAAAAGATTAAACAAAACATTTTCCATCTGTTTCTGAGAATGTAGACAGTATTTGAAATTGCTAAGATATACATAAATTTGATTAGAATATATACAGAGAGAGAAAGCCACCTTCACTTTCTTGAAATCCCAGCTTTAAAAAAGAAGTTACTTTGTTGTTCAACCATGATCATGGAAACCTTATAATTACATGACAAAGTCGTCTAATGAAAATACAACCTACAGGTATAAAATATTATTTTGGAAGTGTAACAATGTTTTGTTGGGCTTTTTGTTTGGTTGGGGTTTTTTTAAGTAATAAGGAGTACCAAAAAAGGACTTTTCTCTGATAGATCATAGAATCATAGAATCCTAGAATTGTCTAGGCCAGAAGGGACCTCCAAAGGTCATCTAGTCCGACCCCCCCGCAGTCAGCAGGGACACCCCCAACTAGACCAGGTTGCCCCATCGAGCCTCACGTTGAATATCTCCAGGGATGGGGCCTCAACCACCTCCCTGGGCAACCTGTTCCAGTGCTCCACCACCCTCACAGTAAAGAACTTTCTCCTCATCTCCAATCTAAATCTGTTCCCCTCCAGCTTGAAGCCATTTCCCCTCGTCCTGTCACTACAGGCTTTTGTAAACAGGCTCTCCCCGTAGGCCCCCTTCAGGTACTGGAAGGCTGCTATTAGGTCTCCCTGGAGCTTCCTCTTCTCCAGGCTGAACAACCCCAGCTCCCTCAGCCTGTAGCAGAGGGTGCTCCAACCCCCTGATCATTTTAGTGGCCCTCCTCTGGACCCGCTCCATCAGGTCCATGTCTTTCCTATACAGAGGGCTCCAGACCTGCACACAATGCTCCAGGTGAGCTCTCACCAGAGCAGAGTAAAGCGGAAGAATCACCTCTCTGGACCTGCTGGCAACGCTTCTTTTGATGCAGCCCAGGATGCAACTGGCCTTCTGGGCTGCAAGTGCACACTGCCTGCTCATGTCCAGCTTAATTTTACCTAACTAGGAACTTTGCTGGCTTAAGAACATAATCATATATAGAATGCCATTTTCACACATGCAAGGCTTCTGATGTTGACTAGAATTTTAAAACACTTGTATTCTCCTTCAGCTTCCATGGAAACCAAGGAAAGCTAAAAGTGATCAGGAAGAACAAGGACAAAGACTCAAATCTTGTCATCTAATGAATTAGAACAATTAAAGGAACAAAGCAGTAACAAACTGAGCAAAAATGTGTCATGGAAGACGCTAGAATTAAACACAGAGTACCTTGATGAACTACACACAATGTATCAGGTTTGAGAAACAAGAGGTTAGTAGGAAAATATGCAAAATATTCAAATTACCTATTTAAGGTGCACTATTGAAGAATAAGTAAGTACCCTCTCGAACTCAAAAAATGAAATTTTGAGTTAAAGCTACTTTATCAAAAATGAAGGGTACATAATAGGGCTTTTTCAAAATTCACTTAACTCATTAGTCAGTCTCCATTTTACATTGAATTCTGTCAGGCTTATTTTCAAGGAACATAGTCAGTTTTGCATCAGCAGACATAAGTAAAATTTGGAACTGTCACCTGACGTGTTTTATTTTTACACAAAATCTGACAGGTCTACTGGAGCTTTGCAGTTTTTACAATTCCAACATCATCAATTTTACATATTTTTAATCCAATATGTAGCCCCACAATGTAATTAATGTAAAAAAAGGCTACTATTTTATATACAGAGTGCGCAAAACTAACTTAAAATCCAACTGTGGAAGCTAAAATTCATGCAGTACATACAATTTTAAAAATTAAAAAGATCCACCTTAAAAATAAACCACAAACTGAAACAAAATTATGTTTTAAAACTGCAGGGTGACAAAAGTGTTGCTGCTGTGGAATACACAATTAGTACCTAACAGTATTTAATTTTTAAAATAAATACATATGTTTATTCATATTATATATACTTCTATCTGTATTTGCATATATATGCATATAGACACACACAAATTTTACATATTGTTTGTAGTCTACGTCCTTGGTCTAGGATAAAGTCCGCTGGAAGAACAAAATCAGGGAAAACCACATCATTATTTATTTTCATAACACAGATCAGAAATGTATGGCCATATCGCCCTATAATTTTTCATGGTTTGTTCAACTTCAGAACACTTCACAAAGAAAGGGAGCTCAAAAGTATTCCTAGAAATTTACATATTCAATTAGATCTAAGGACTGTTGAAGTTCTTTATACAGTGCATGAAATCCAGCCACCTCTCCAACATAAAAAAACCCCAACCAAGTAGTCTGATTTCTTACATAGTTTTTCCTTGTAATGCTTTTGAATTATACAAATAGCCTCTTGTTTATAAGAAGGATGATAAAAGAATGTTTAGATCCTGGGATAAGCTCAAACCTAGTAGAAAATCGCTAATTTTTACTACGTTTTGTTTATCCCCCCCCCCTTTTTTCAAATCCTCCATCTAATTGTTCATCCCAGAGTATCTCTTCTCTAGCCAAAGCCTTTGGTTGCTCTTTGCTTTCACGCTTCTCGCATAGGAATGCCTTACCCACACTTGCCACCTGCACCTTTTCTCACTGAAGCGTCCTCTCTGTCTCTCCATACTGCTCATGTCTCCATATTTCTGTAACTGTCCGTCCCTAGTTCTTCTCAAGAATCCTACAGAGTGTCTCCTTCCTACTCAGTTTCTGTTCCTGTTGTTAGTGAACAATGAACATGGAGCCATAAACTTTATCACCTACTTGAGTAAACAGTTAAGCCATTCTAAAACTATTACCAAATGGATTTGTCCTGTGAAAAACAAAAGACGAGTTACTAATCCAACCTTAATCAATTATCAGGTATTCTTCATCACAGAACTCTGAACTTTTCTTTTCTAAGAAGCTTTGTATAACAGCTTTTACTACTCAAGTGACTCAAGGACAATTTTACTGTGCCACAAATTAATTTCTTTTGCTTTCCTGGCATTAGTACATTCTTGCAAAGCAGTCTGCCCCTATGCATCATTTCAAGACTTCTCAGAGAAGGTGATCTCAGCAATTATTTACTCTCGAAGTGGCTTTTGCTTTCTTCCATTCTTAATTGCAGGAAGTCACAAAAAGAAGCAATCCTAAACCAAGAGTTTCATTTATCAAATGTATTTCCTGGGCTGTGTCTTCTAGATTTTTTTTTTTACTTTTGTATGGAAAAAGACACTATGGGTGTCAAGACCAAAAGTTATCAGGGTGCAACAGAATAAAGACAAAAAGGCAACTAGACCCTCAAGGTATTATCCTCTTTGTAAGACCAAGACAATTTAACGTGAGATCATTTAATGTGAAACAAGTTAAGACCCTGATACTTTAACCAAGAAATACCAATGGGCATTTCGCTAATAAATCTTGTAAACAAACTGTTCCTCTAACTTAGGATGGAAAGCCTTATAGAAGCTGCTAATAAGTTCAGATAGAAGGTAAAATGGAATGGGTAAGGACAGTACAAAACAATGACAGTTCTTCCAATTAGCTTCTGTAACTTGAGGTATTACAAGGGGATGGAGGAACCCACCCTTAGGAAGACAGAGGGGAAAAAGGGAAAGTGATGACTGCAAAAAATAACTTTGAATTCTCCAAATAGAATTTTGCCCTCTCTGAAAAGTAACTCCTCTAACATCAGATGGGAAATCAGCTCCCAGAGGAGTACTTCTATTTTGTTTTCTGTTGCTTATATTCAGTAAGAGAACTCTTTGTTGTTTTTATTTGGGCATGCTAATTCCTCTGGGGACTAAAAAAAAAAAAAAAAAAAAAAAAAAATCATACTAGAAAAATTGCAGGGAGATCAATTTCTATCCACAAAACAACCACAAAAGAGGCCAGTCTGGATTTTTAGATAGATAGGTAGTATAATCAGACGTTCTAAGTCTATTTTGTGGCACAGGAAGAACAATTGTAAATATGAATTCCAGTAAAAGATTAAATAAGTAAGTGCAATCAAAATTTACTTAGAAAATAATCCTGCATAGTGCCTCCAGTAATCTTGCCTTACTCTCCTGACACAGCAACCTATAAAGATTTAATGTTGGGTGAAAAAGCAAACAGCTCAAAGAAACTGTCTGTAATCCTCCACTGCAGAGATTAGCCTGAAACTGCCTATTACATTGCCTGCCAGTTCAACTGAGCAAACTCTAATCCAATTACTGCAAGACAGGCTTTCTGTCCAAATCATTGCACTTATAAGACTAAAACCAGTAAGCTATGAGACTTCTTGAAACCATTATCACAATTTTTCCTCTTCTATGAATACTGCACAGATATAGAGACTTTTGCAATCATCTTCCAATTCCAAAACACCAATTTAACATGAATAAGCAGGCCACAGATAGCATGTAATAAAAAAAAAAGATCTCCCAATTGAGAACAGATTTTTTTGGTGCAAGTGAACACTGCCTTAGAAGTCACCAAGACATGAGTAATTCAGTAGAGTCAAATTACAAGCAAACACTAATCACCACGCTTATTCTTTTAAAGCTATGTTTAAAAAAACACCAAAATCCAACAACCAACAACCCAAAATGCCCATGCATCTCTATATTTATTTATTTGAAAGTAGGATAAGTTGCTTTGGGAATAAGGTAGATCTCAGAAAAATCATACCCTTAAGTCTTAAGAATATATCTGCGTGTGTAATCTTTAGCATCTGCAGTGTGGATCTTATTTCACTTTTTAAAATCATCTTTGTCTTGTACTATTAGCAGTCAGAGGTCAACGTAGGCTACTAGAACCAACCTGATCTAATTAGACCTTCTTTGAGCACAGGATTGGACTACATGACCTTGAAGCTCCCTTCCAACCTAAATTATTCTATGATTCTGTACTTTACCCCATTTCTCCAATTGTAGCAGAGACATTTATCCTGACTGAGAGCATGTATATCAGCAGAGTCCATCTGTAACATGCAATCATGATGTACTTCAAAATATATTTGGTTAAGAAAGTTTCTTCATACAGTTATCATATTTATGTAGACTATAATATTGCTAAAACAGCAGTTTAAGCAATTCGCTCTAAAGAGCTCTGTGCCCTAGCAGTCCTCTCTCCTTAGCTGTAAACAATCTGCTGCATTTCATAAAGTACACCTTTCTCTTCTCCTACAGGGCATCATCACCGATGAAAAGGGTCATTTTAGCATTAAATACTCTTTAAACCTTTTATTACCTCCTCCAGGAAAAGCCATGAGTTGAATTGAGTTACTACAGTTTTGAAGCCCTAACATAAACTTTGTAAGTATGAAAAGCTGCGTATTAAGGGCATGTACTCATGAAGTTCAAAATATCTAGCGTACTGATATACTGTAGGCTTAAAACAGTAAAATAAATGAATCAATTACTTCACAAGTTTTTATCTGCGTGTATGATTTAGCCTGTCTGCCACTCCACCACGGCAACTTTTTTTTTTTTAAACATAAATCACAAATGCAAGAAATTTTTAAAAAGTTTCATTTCTCTATACTTCTCAGTTGCTGGAAATGAGATAATGGATCCAAAATAGTTACAAGTGGTTTATTCTAGCACAGGACTGACAAGTCAAAATGCAGAGCATTCATCTGTGCTACATCTCTCAGAAAAGACTGCGTTCACATGCACAGAGCTGACAATCTGTGTTGAAATCCTTGTTCAGAATACCACTTGTGCTTTTAGAGGCACTGCTTGCATGAATGGAATATGCTATTCTGTAAATAACATCAACATCTCTTGTCCCTCGTATCTGGAACACCAGACTACATTAGGTGAATTCATGTCCACTGAGAACTGAACTGGGCTGCCAGTGTGTACCACACGGGGCATCTTACAACTCTCCTGGAGCATGTACTTTCAGGCACTAGCAACCAGGATTATGTATCATTAGGTAGTAAAAGGAGAGTATCTGTTTATCAGTCTCTTAAGTCATCCAGTTCTAAGTAGTGTTTTCTAAATTCATTCCTCCTCCTCAACTAGAAAGGCTCAAATTACATTTATGTAATTCTTGTAAAACAAGAAAGACGTTCAGTTTTGCATTTTGATGTAGCCATAGTTGCAATGATCAAAAATCCACTTCAATTTGTAAACGTTTAATAAAACAAAATGCACAAAATTAAGCAATAAACCAAAACCAATTATTGTCCATTAAGGGAGTAAAGCAGTACCAACAAACTTCCCATAAACTACAGGACACTGACTACCACAGAAAAAACGATGCTGGCAGGCAGGTAGAAAGTGCTGTCTCTGGACATATTAAGGTCAGACTGAGAAGACAAGAAAATCATAGCAAAAATCTCATATAACTCCTTTATTCCTACTCTCAAAATTAATGGACTATGTTGTCCCTCCCCACAAGTAACTGATCACCTGAAATGAACCTACCTCAATAGTGTAAGTCTGGTTGTGTCTGATAATTTCTCCACTATGCAAAGTTCTAATAATAGCAAAGTCAGCAGTAGCATCTGCTTCCCTCCAGCTGCTGCATGAGGACGTTTCATCACCTCGAGATCGATCAGTATCAATCCCACCTTGTATTGATTCTTCATCTTTGATGTTTGCTGGTTTCTTCTTCTTTTTCTGCTTCTTTGATCCATTCTGACCGTCAGTTTGTGCCTTCCGCTGCCTGAATTGGGCAAGCTATACAGAAGACAAAATTCTGTTAAAGGCGAAAGTTTTCCTCTTTACTACTAATGAAATCCTCTATAAAGGCTTACCAGCTGTTCTACATAAGCGCCAAACTAATCACAACTGTAAACAAGTTGGAAGTTAATGCTGCGTATCTGAGACATGCTCAGATTATTCTTTCGTTTACACAGTTTACTTGGAAAAAAAAAAAACCTTAAATGTAAAACAACAACCTATTAATGAATTCCTTTCTGGCTTCATACTAGCAAGTTACTGTTCGACAGATTGATACCTAGAAATCAAAACATTCAAAGGTAAAGGCACAAACATCAATATAAAGGACAAATGCAAAGAGATAACCTCTGTTTTAATTTTTCAATTTTATAGTGATAAATACTTTGAAATTAATTTACAGAAATTACTTTTAACTTTTATACCAGAAACAGATAAAAGCAAAACATTCTTCCACCAAGTATAATATCAAGTTTTCTAAATAGTTTATGCTAGAACTCAAAAAGCAGATCAAGTTACTGAAAACATCATCAAGAAATAGCAAAACACATTATGAGGTAGTAGTCTAAAAACAGCGAGCAAACTACCAAATACACTACCTTGTAGCAAAACATGCTGATGAACAAAAAGTCACAGGTGACCCAGGCACACAGTTGAAAAACCAATTAGTATGTAAGCTATTCAAATACTGGAAGACACTGCCTTTTGAAGAGCTTATCACTTTTAATCACTTTATAGTGGTTTACACAAGAAAATCCTTTTAAAATATTTTTTCTTAACAAGAACTGAATTTCTGTTCAAATAAGAAAAACAAGCACAGCAGGTTTTACCAAATAATTCAAAATTAGACACATCCTACCAATAAAATCTGGAAACAGAAATCATTATTTTCCAATTGAAAAGTCCAACATCAATTAAGTGCTACAGTATGTTTTAAAAATGTAGCTCCAACGTAAATATAAAGCATGCAAATAAAGACCCTAAAGCTTTAAATAATTTTTACATCAACTAATACCCAAATAACATGCATTTTTTATAAAACTGCTGCGATTTTAAGAAACAGCTACAGAAAAGGTAGCATGTTTGCTCGCGATATTCACCAATCGGGAAAGCCAGGCTTCCATCCAACCTCTTCAGCAACACTCAAACCACACAGGACACACAGATCCCCTGCCAGCCACAGTGCAAGCCGTCACTGGGAGTGCTCTCTTGTTCTCATCTGGCCCCACAATCGCTGAGAAGCCCCAGCCTAAATAAACACATCACTGATGTTGATCAGTTCTGACTTCTGGCTAGTTCATGCTTTTGTCCCTTTATTTGTATTTCTTTGTGGGTCTCTTTCAGCCTCCTCTCCATCCTTAGGACAACCGACAGCTTGGCCTATGGCTCCTGCTCTGTTTCCAGGAGGAGGGCTTGAAGATTTGCTTACCCAAATATGCTCACCTACATATTTAATACTTACTTCCTCCTACATCTCTAATTAGTTCAACTTCATGATTTTTTTTTCCATTTTTTAAAATAGGCAGCTTTTCTCATTTCACCAAAAATCTACTAAAGCTTATAAACTCCAGAAGTTCTGAACAGGAAAAGAGAGGATAGTCTCCTCCTAACTTCAAAGTTTGAGGAGGAAAAAAAAAAAAAAAAAAAGGCAGCATAGATTTAGCTTCTCAAAAATGGGAAGGGCATAAGTTTCCAGTTGTCTCCTTACAACATTACTATGTTCTCCTAAAACTGTAACTTTACCTCAATAGAAGAGTTTTCAATTTATCCAAAAGACAAGCCGAATCTGTCCAAATGCCACAATGGCATAAAGCAGACAACCTGATTTCAAGTGTAACTACTGAAAGATTTTTCTTTTTTTACTTTTTGTTTTTAAATAAAGACATGTAGTGCCACCAGTCAAGAACTCTCCTCCCCAACTTGATTGAAACCTTCTGTAATGGAAAGTTAAGTTGGCTTTTTTAAAGCAGCTTTACAGTCTTTATTTGTCTACAAAATTAGACATGTAGCTCAAGGACAAGTGAACTACTCCACTTCTCAAGTATTTTGTATATTTTAGCCAAGGCTTCAAATCCATGTTTTAATCAAATTCTAAAAACCAGAAATGACAGAAGCAGCATAACAAAAAGCTACTGTGGAACAAAAACACTCTGTGATGCTCACATAAAGACAGGGGAGTCTCAGATACCGAATTTGTTCAAAAAATGGGACTCAGGAACTAGAGTTGAGGCTCTATCTACGTTTCAATGACAAGCAAGAAAAAGTCCAACAGCAGTCATGGGAACTAAGGAAAATAAATTTTGTAGAATTAGAACTTTAATTAAAACTGAAAAATACTTCCCTATTTTGTGTTTATATTTTTCCAGTGTGAACAAAACGTGAAACTAATGCAAACTGATACAACTATACAGCCCTTCACCCTGTCCTCCAGGCACAGCGGCTTCCTAACGCCAAAACTCAGTCTGTGGAGAACTTAACGCTGCCACTGCTGAATCTGCAGTTTTGAAATAATTCCATGTCAATTCTCTGTTGAGTTACAAAAGTTGCAAGGAAGAGCAAAGATGTAAACACAGGAGTTACCCATGGAGGAGAAATGATCCAAACCCAGAAGCTGAAGAATGCTCAGAACAGGCTCTCTGCCTCGATCCACCTCCGAGGAGCGATAGAGAAGCAGTACCTTACCACCCTGGGAAGGCATCAGGAACACAGTCACCTGTGATGCAACTTCACCATGTTTTAGCACATCTGCAAAGAGCAAGTCTTCTTTGAGCATCTGCTAGCACATTGTCTCCAGCTTTTCCCATAATGCTGGTAAGACCTTGGATCCTCCAAACAGTACTGACTCCCGTTAAAAATTCCATCAGTGTTTTCCAGTAGCGAGTAACAGCTGATTTTGCTCCTTATCCTTAACTCTCAGCTTTTGCACTTGAAATAGCTAACAACTTGCCATTTCCAGCTCATAGGTTTTTCAAGTCCTGCTTTCAGGCAAAAAAAAAAAAGCAATCCTCTTGGAAACCGACATGTCCACTTTACAACAATAAAAAACATCGTATTACAGAGTCCACCCTTATTGTCTGAATTATTTCTATTAAATATCCAGCGTACAACTAAATTCTTAATTGTAATAAATAAATTGAAGTTTTAACCTAAACTCTGAGAATGAAACGATGTTTCTTTCATTTTAATGCATAACAACCTACAATAAAATTGTCGGGAAGAATTACATTTTTATTTTCAGAGTTCCAGAAGTGCCATTTACAACAGCTGCTCAGCTTTCCGTTAGTTTGAAAAATGGGAAGCGACTGGACTTTAGCACTAAATTCTGTGGATGCTCAAAGCACGTTGCCTCTTATAAACAGAAAAACACTTATTGAAAGTCACAAGACTACAACAGAGCAGCATGCATGTAAGTAATGGGTATACTTTTCAAAATCATATCCTACAGTAAAACAACAGTTGAGTAGAATAACTTAGATATTTAGAGGATATATTTATTTAGTTAGTTCTAATTATAACTTTTTTCTACTTATGAATCCCGTAACACTATACTAGCACCAATGCCCTCATCACAGACTGCAGCAGAATTACAGACACCCGGTACAACACTACTTCAGCTTTTAAATGCTGACAGCCTCCAACTGGCAGAAGGTCAGAAAAGCAGATAAAAATCAACTGCTATCAGAAACTAAATAGTCTTGAGACAGAATGGAACTAACTAGCAGAGTGGTGGGGATTGCTTGTGTAAACCAGTCAATTATGATAGCTCACGTGCTGCTCTAATTACAGCAGCATCATTATTTATTTATTCAGCTATCTTCCACACATTCTGAACCTTGACAATTGTACCAGCCATCTAGATTGCTGGGATACGCTGTCCATTGATTTATTTCAAATATGGTCTAATGGAACTATTTCCAGAGTAGAAGTGCACATTAAAATAAAATTCGGCTCCAATAGAATCCAAAACTTAATCTCCTCTTAGGCATTTAAGAAATATATAAAATATCTGAACAAAAGACACAACATCTAATCACTGTCCATATATCAGCACAAGAAAATACTGAAAAGATCCATGAAAATTTAAAAAAGTTACATTCATAAAGCACCAATAGCTATATTTTTATTTCACATGTATAAAAGACTTTTTAAAACAGAAACACATTAAGTTTCATTTAAAACTAGATGCTGCCTTATGATTGCTTATTATTCCTTAACATTCTCAGACAACGTATTAGATCTGGATAGTCTCATTTTCAGAGGTACTACAGTTAACAGGAATTGGAATTGCTCAGCGCCTCTGAAGAAGGCTATTATGAAATAAGATAAACAATATTTGCTGAACTTATTCTTTAAAAAGCAAATAATTGCTAAAACAAGAAGTTTATAGGTCACATATCCTGTACAAGGACAGCTGTACAGTTATACTTCAAGTACCTGTGCACAAACATTATTAGCTTCAAATTTTAACTAACATCAAATGCTTACATCTCAAATTCAGGGCTGCATAGGCACCTTTTACAGAAAGACTAGGGTCTGTTCGTCCCTCACAGTTCCTCTTAGTTACAAAATCTCTTTTTTAAACTCAGATTTGAAGAAACAGCGTAGAAGGATAAGTTGTGAACTTACAGGCTGACAACAAAAAGGAACCTCAAAGAAGCTGCTGCAGGCCAGTAATTATTCTTTTTCATTTCCACACTGTACAGTAAAGGCATGAATGGAGATCATAGAATCATAGAATGGTTTGGGTTGGAAGGGACCTCAAAGATCATCGAGTTCCAACCCCCCTGCCATGGGCAGGGACACCTCCCACTAGAGCAGGTTGCTCAAGACCCCATCCAGCCTGGCCTTGAACACTTCCAGGGATGGGGCATCCACAACTTCCCTGGGCAACCTGTTCCAGTGCCTCACCACCCTCACTGTAAAGAATTTCTTCCTGATATCTAATCTGAATCTTTTCTCTTCCAATTTAAAACCGTTTCCCCTTGTCCTATCATTACCCT